TCTGCTGTCAAGACATGGTCACTAAACCCTGAAGCTCAACACTGCCCAACAGATACTGGCCCTGAAAGCCTGCACCAGTATATGATTCTGGAAGCTTACCATCTTCCTTTTTTAAAAAATGAAAATATATATTTTAATGTTTAAAAATGTTAACACTCAAGTGGGGCAGAGACCCTCAAGCTCATCAAAAGAGGTGTCTGTGAGTACATAGGTACCACATTAGGGGCTTCAGGACTGGACATACAGTATCAAAGATGCAAATGTTAATGCATCGGAGAGAAATGGAGGAAATTATTAGAAAAAGGGAGATAGATTGACTATGGTATGCATAAAATGTAAAGTTGTTAGAATCACATGAATAAAATTATTCCAGAGTTAGGCATAACACCAGCACAGGCAAGAAGGACTGGTAGGAGCAACAGTATAAAGTTTTCTGGAAGAAGGAGCTACAGGCCCCACGTACCACAAGAAGGAAACTACCACCCCATGTGCGGTGGATAAGATTCCCTTGTCCTCAGTGCTAATTTAACTTTCAGCTGCCAGTCTAGTCAGCATCTTTACACTGAAAGGGAGCAGACAAAGAAAAATACTGTTCTGTTCACCTAACTAAAAGCTCTGTAGTTCAAACAAACATTTCTACAGTGAAATGTTAATGTCAGTAAAAGGTGTTCAGGCTAGTTAGAATATAGAAGCAGGATAACCATGTATTTTATTTGAGAGCTCTACCTACTTGATAGGCCTGCCCACTCAAAAGGTATTATAGGCCAAATAATTCAGCTGGGAAAAATCTCTTATTGGTGCAGACAACACTGTGTGTATTACCTGGTAGAACACAGTTCCTTATATGTCTAAAGGAAATACCAACTGTAGCATGAACCCAACTTGCTGTAGAACTAAGCCAAAAGCCAACTGGTTTTACACAACTACTATGAAAACTGGGCAATGTGGAAACAACAATTGCTTGCATACAGGTCATGAACTTCCACCACAATTAAACCTCCTATCACAGGCAACCGCACAATCCATCCACCATCATTCAGAAAATCCAAAAGAAACACAGATTCTGAATATTTGTTCTTGATGCTACTTGTTTGTTTCTTTCTTTAATGGAACACAGAGAAAGTATAGTTGCATATCCCAAGCTGTATATATTAGAAGGAGTTTCATGGAACAAGCTGAAGGATTTTCTTGCTGAGAAAAGCAGGCACTAAAGCCTCTGTAGCTATGCTCTGGATTGCATTCAATCAGTAAGCCATGGCATCTCTTGAGCAAAGGTCTGATCTGAGATGATCTCAGATAAAGCATCAGCTTTCCCTCTGCGTTTGAAACGCCTTCGTCTCAGAATTCCCATGCCTCCTGTACAGCTGAAATGATACTGTACTGACAGATTGTGGCAATAACCACTCTGTGGACTTGTGTTAGCAAGAAGACAGGTGTTCCTGATGGTCTGATGGGCTCATGAAGGTTGTGATGGCATGAATTGCCGTGGTAAAACCTTCACTAGTATCCAAAAATGCTTTGAGGCAACAGATAATGCAGAAACATAGGATGAGACACAGGGAGCACCAAGAAGAAAAAAAAAGCGATGCACATAGGCACTGTGGAAGGGGTCTTCATGTTTCTCTGAAAGAAATATGACCTGAAAGAAACAGAAAATGCAGAATAAGACTTTAATTACATTAGAGTTGCCTGGGAAAAACTTCTAGAACTGCACATCTATGCTAAAAAAAACAGGTGCTGTCATGGTCAAGCTATGGTTTGTAAGGACCAAAGTTAAATAACAAAAGCAAAATTACTTCTGTGGTTGGAATGAAGAGGTAGGAACCATGAGCAATATTCATAATATAGGGAACTGGTTTCTGCAGTGGGCTCAGTAACCCACAATTTTCTAAAAGCTTCTGATACTGCTAGTTTTGTTGTGATATATACATGCCATAACTGTTACAACACCAATACATAAATGTAAATCAGTCAAGAAATCAAAATAGATAACTGCAACCAGATTGTACAGCAATGCAAAAAGCAATGAACATGCAGAATGTGGGTGCAATCTTTATCATTTGAGACCTGCAAGGATGGGGCCACAGTCAGAAATGAACAAAAGGTATTGGTCACACTTTTAGATGATCTCTGGGGAGAGCAGGATGGGGGTAGTGCATCCATCCTTGCTCATCTTGATCTCTTGCCAGCTTTTGATACCATCAACCATGGTATCCTTTTGGGTCAGCTGCAGGAGCTGGGGCTGGGTGGCACAGTTCTGTGCTGGTCCAGCTCCTTTCTCCAAGACTGAACCCAATCGGTGTTGATAGGGAGCGAGAGGTCCAACCCATGGCCCCTACTTTGTAGGGTGCCTCAGGGTTCGGTGCTCTCACCGCTCCTATTTCTACATGCAACCAGTGGGTGAGATCATCCGGCACCATGGGGTGAGGTATCATCAGTATGCTGATGATACTCAACTATACATCTTTGTCCCTGGTGACCTAAGTGATGCTGTGGCTACCCTTTCGTGGTGCCTGGACGCTGTAGGGGCCTGGATCGGGGACAACAAGCTTCGACTGAACCCTGGTAAGATGGAATGTCTGTGGGTACAGGGAGCCTCAAGATCTAGGAGTTTATCATCTTTGGTTCTTGATGGGGTCACACTACTCTAGATGGACCTGGTGCATAATCTGGGGGTCCTCCTGGACTCACAACTCCTGTTTGAAGAGCAGGTGGCAGCTGTGCCTAGGAGGGCCTTTGTGCAACTTCGTGTTGTGCAACAGCTTCCTGGATCAGGAGGCTCTCTGCATGGTCACTCATGCCCTGGTCACCTCCCAGTTGGATTACTGCAATGCAGTCTACATGGGGCTACCCTTGAAGAGTATCCAGAAACTACAGCTAGTGCAGAATGCAGCAGCATGGACAGTTCTGAATGCCCCCAGGGGGGCCCGTATAACACCACTGTTACGCAAGCTGCATTGGTTGCCAGTTTGCTACTGGGTCTAATTCAAGGTGTTGGTTATTACCTTTAAAGCCCTTCATGGCACAGGACCAGGTTATC